TAATGCAAAGGAAATGGTGTGGTTATGGCATCGTCGTTTAGGACACCTGTCTTTTAGTTATCTTAAGAAGTTACAACCTCATTTGTTTTCGATTGTTAGTGATTCAGAATTTCATTGTGACATTTGTGAACTGGCCAAAAGCCACCGTATTTCATATTCACCAAGTATTAATAGATGTCCTATGCCTTTTATGAAAATTCACTCCGATGTTTGGGGTCCTGCAAAAATTCCTTCTTTTTCTGGAGCTCGGTATTATGTAACTTTTATTGATGATTGCACTCGCATGACCTGGGTGTCATTACTGAAAAGTAAGAGTGATGTATTTGGAATGTTTACTGTTTTTTACAAAATGGTGGCGACGCAGTACCAACAATCCATCAGAGTTTTTCAATCTGACAATGGTGGAGAGTTTGTGAATAGCCTTATGTCTGAGTTTTGTCGGTCAACTGGAATTCGTCATCAAACCTCCAATTCTGGTACTCCTCAGCAGAATGGTTTAGCGGAACGAAAGAACAGGCAGTTCTTAGAAGTTGTTCGTGCTTCCTTGTTTGGCATGAATGTACCTCGATCCTATTGGGGTGAAGCAGTGAAATCAGCAGCATATGTTATTAACCGTACTCCTTCACGAGTAATTGAGTTCAAGAATCCTCATCAAAAGCTTCATACACTTTTGTCCATCCCTTCTATGCCTAATTTGGAGCCCCGAGTGTTTGGGTGCACAGCTTATGTCCACATACCAAAACCACAACGAAGCAAGCTTGATCCCCGTGCGAAGAAATGTATTTTTGTGGGTTATGCAGAGTTCCAAAAAGGGTACAGATGTTATGATCCGCTCACCGACAGAATGCATATATCTCTTGATGTCTCATTCCATGAATCTGACCCATATTACTCAGGGGGAGTTTCCCAGTCTTTCCTTCAAGGGGAGAGTGGTAGTGAAGGAAATCCTCGTCCTATTGCTAATATTGATGTCTTTAAAGAATTGGAACACTTGGAGGAACAATTTGAAGTTCTTGTAACAGCTGAAACTGTTCCCGTAGCAGTACAAAATGACTTGTCTCGAGAGATAAACACTTCCAATGGGCAGACAATCGACCACTTGGTTCCTGACGATCAATACCCTCATGAGACAGAAGCAAATGATCAAGATATATCTGAAACTCACGACATTCCCCCTTCTACATCAACAACTGAAGATCTCGCTCAGAATGATCCACCTCAGGTACCTTTAACCTCTAAATAGTCTTCTAGGTTAGAAAGTGTTGAACATAGGAAATCACAAAGGGTTACTAAAGGAGTTCCTAAAAAGCAATATGAACCAGACATCAAAGCCCAAGCTAAATACCCTATAACTAACTTTATATCTAACCATAGGCTTTCTGAGTCACATGCACTTGTTATTAATCAATTATCTACTGTATCTATTCCTAGTAACGTGCAGGATGCATTGAAGGATCCAAAATGGACAACAACAATGAATGAAGAATTGGAGGCTCTTCAGAGGAATGTTACATGGGAGGTAGTAGACAAGCCTGTTGGAAAGAAAACTGTAGGATGTCGTTGGGTGTTTAATGTGAAGCTTAATGCAGATGGAACTATTAATAGATACAAGGCAAGATTGGTTGCCAAGGGATATACACAGCGCCATGGAATTGATTATGAGGAGACTTTCGCACCTGTAGCGAAGATCAATACTGTACGAATTTTAATTTCACTTGCAGCGAATAAAGATTGGCCTTTGCACCAGCTTGATGTGAAGAATGCATTTCTCAATGGAAATTTGGAGGAAGAAGTGTACATGGATATGCCCCTAGGCGTGAAGAATAACCTAAGAGACGTTGGTAAGGTGTGTAAATTGAAGAAGTCTTTGTATGGCCTAAAACAGTCTCCAAGAGCTTGGTTTGGAAGATTTTCGAAGTCCATGATAGCTTTTGGGTACAAACAAAGCAATTCTGACCATACCTTGTTTATCAAACACAAGAATGGTAAGATTACAACTCTAATTGTATATGTTGATGACATGATCGTTACAGGAGATGATCCAAAAGAAATAAATGATTTGCAAAAATATCTATCAAAGGAATTTGAAATGAAGGATCTTGGACAACTGAAGTATTTTCTGGGTATTGAAGTTGCAAGGTCGAAGGAAGGGATTTCACTTTCCCAAAGAAAGTATGTTCTTGATTTGCTCGCTGAAACAGGGATGTTGGACTGCAAACCAATGGAGACACCCATTGAGATGAATCATGGACTACTTGCTATTCTTCCTGATCAAGTCCCTACCGAAAAAGGGAGGTATCAACGTCTTGTAGGAAGGTTAATTTATCTTTCTCATACTAGACCTGATATTGCTTATGCTGTAAGTGTTGTTAGTCAGTTTATGCATTGTCCTAGTGAAGAGCATATGGATGCAGTCTTTCGTATCTTGAAATATCTGAAGATGGCGCCTGGTAAAGGATTATTGTTTGGAAGAAATGATACATTGAAAGTTGTTGGATACACAGATGCAGATTGGGCTGGTGATAAAACTGATAGACGCTCTACATCAGGGTACTTCACTTTTGTGGGTGGGAACCTTGTAACTTGGCGCAGTAAAAAACAAAAAGTTGTTGCCAGATCAAGTGCAGAAGCTGAATTTCGAGGTATGGCTCATGGAGTTTGTGAAATGTTGTGGATCCGTAATGTCCTGAAGGAATTGGGTTTCAAGCTTCAAAGGTCTATGGATTTACATTGTGATAATACAGCTGCTATTCAAATTACACATAATCCAGTTCAGCATGATCGAACAAAGCATGTGGAGGTTGACCGTCATTTTATTAAAGAAAATCTTGACAGGAAAGTTATTCGTTTTCCATTCGTAACTTCAGAGGAGCAATTAGCTGATGTTCTTACTAAAGGGGTATCTCAGAAAGTGTTTGACAACTCAGTTGACAAGTTGGGCATGATAGACATCTATGCACCAACTTGAGGGGGAGTATAGAAAGTTGTATATTCTAATTATAGAAGCTGTATATATTTAGGATATTCTAATTTAGGTAATCTAGTATATATTGTAATATTGTTTCTTGTAAGACAAGAAACCCTCTTGTATATATACCCCTCTTATGGGA